TTCGAAGCATCCTATATTTGTAAGTTCGTTGTCGGTTGTTCCTTACCCGCCTTGTGTTTTCAGGCGCGACGACTCGCCTGTCCTTCAACGTAACGCGGTGCCATGTCTCACGGATTGCGTTGTCGTTCGCAAGTGTGCCTCTTGTGCGCGCCACTATCTCTTCCTGCTCTCTCCCCAAATGACTTTCTTTGATGAGCTTCTAACAAGCACATGCAACGTTATGCGCCAGCAACGCAACTGCTTCCATATTTTCACTTTCACCCTGTCACACGACTCGTCTTACTATCGCGCGCGTCTTTTTTTCGTACGCTTACAGGAATTCGCACCGATGCAACTGGTGCGCTAGCATCTCCAGGCGTATACATATATATACATATCTATATATACGTGTGTCAAAACGAAGTTTCGTCGAATGTACACATAGTTCGTCCAAATCTGGACATCTAGATGGCCTTCTCGCGTTATCGATCGACCGGGTGTCGATAAGTTTTCCCGTACCGACCGCGGAATTGTGGCGAATTATGTTGTCCTAGAAGAGGCGCGCGACGACATAGAGGCAGAAATACCGCGATTAGAAGAACATATATCTGCCGTGGCGTCGCGTGTAACCGGCCGGACGATCTGTGAAACGATTTACGAGCTCATGGGCCAGCAGCGTATAGATCCTGCACCAGCCAGAGACGACCTAGCGAAAATTCGTCCACGGATGTTTTGCGGGGATTGTAAATTAACGACATTTGATATAAATGTGATTTTCTGTTTGGCACAAGACCAACACGAAACGGTATAAATAGAAGTTCTTCGCCGGGGAACCCTACCGCGTTTGTAACTCTATACATAATTTCGGTGTGTGTTTTATTTTCGGGACCGGTTTCACCGTAAAAGCGTGAAACGTGGAAACGAACGAAGCCGGGCGACTTGCGGAAAACTAGAACCTCTAACACGCTATTAACCAAGGATAATTTCGACTCAATTACGTCACACAAGCCATAACGCGCTGGCGTCTCTGTCTCTCTTCATCTTTCTCTCTTTATTTCTGTTATATCTCGCTCCGCGTATCTACGTATCGTGATCACGAACGATGATGTCATGGGATAATTCCTACCGATTACAGAAGAATTACTCACAATGATGTTTCCTAATTCACATAACTGTCGGATGAAAATTGTTTAAACGGTTCAAGATACCAAGTTCAGCGTGTATGTTTTTGTAACGTTTGCATTGCAAATTTCTTTTTAATGCTAAAGTGACTAAATTTGTGTATCAAAATGGCGGATCACAACAAATGCACAACAAGTATGTATGTAGTATGTAATGAAGATTGAGACTCTTAGATTAAGTAAATGATAAAATGAAACAGTATAATAATGAATGCATATTTATTTTAAAATCTTCTTACAGAGAAAATTATACAATATTTGGAATTATCTTTCTCTATGATAAATAATAACCAGAATATTAAAAGAGTGACACACTTTCAAAAAAGTATATCTTATATTTATAAATTATTGACAAGAAGAAAGAAAGAACAAAAAAGCAACAAATCAAGAAACACAATCATCATGTGTTTGTTTAAAGAGTAATAATAAACTTTGGAATTAATATCAATAAGATATTAAATAAGAAAGAAAGAAAAACATTTCTTTTTATTTCTTTAAGGAAAAGCTTAAACGTTCCGTCGCTATAGTAACTTTTTCTAACATTTTAAAAATATGAAAGTATAAAATGACAAGTAAGTCATGTAAATATGAAAATATATAATATTTCACCGTGTGTGACACGTATATCTGACATATGTACAAATACTAGTTGCTTATTAATTTATGTGAGTGAGAAACGTTATTTGTTTATCATACTATAATCAACGCATGAAGACATAACAAAGATAACATTCCGGTAATGCGAACGCTTACCAATCCAACTATGAAGGTATTCCAAGAGAACAACTCAGAAGTTTCAATATACTTGAAATAGGTTGAGAAAATGAGATTTCTTTAAAACAGTAACTACCAAAATAGTCAACGTGTATAATACTTCGGAATAAGGAAGAGAAAAGAAAGGGAGAAGGGTCAAAATGACCGCACCCGGATTTCTAGTCACTAGCTCTAAATTGCCTAGATTGTCACTAACCCTAAATAATATTAAATGATCAGGGTAAACTCTCAAGCTGTATGAACGAGTTCTATCTTGCTGTTCTATTTTTACTTAAAGTTGTTACACCATGTGTCTAAATACCTAAACAGATTGACGCGAACTAAGAACACAAAGAATATAAAGAAACGACGCAGCAATTGTTTCAGCCATAAGTAATTTGCATCCGATTACTCTTCCTATTTCGATCTGCAGTGATCTCCTGGCATGCGTGCAGCCTATATGGCCATCGCCGTAGGTGTGATTTCCTCTGATCGTCGTAAACAAGGACACCGCATTTTAAAAACGGAGTAAGACTCTATGGGATAAAAGACACCGAGGTCGGAATGTTAGTCGGACACGCCCACGAAGGTACTGTAATTCGATGCGTTAGGCTACGCACACCAATGCGTATAGGATGCACTCCATACACTGTAACATCAATTTATTCGACGCTACATAGAAATTAGCCTTTCATTGTGCCCTATTGCGACAGTATCATTTATCTACTTTTCGTCTACTCCGTTAATTAATCTTCTGACTATTGAAGATATAGTAAAATATTCATTACTCAAAAACTTCATAATCGTTTTATTGTTCGACTATCGTCGTACATATTCCATTGTTTAGTATATCTGAATATTCAGTTTAATATGAAATCGGCAATATACGCGTTAATACTTTATGCCGCGAAATGTACAACTTTAAATTTCATTTTCATCTTGGCGCACTTGTAATATTACAAAGGAGATATTCCAGTAATTTTAAGTATAGTATTAATAGAAGTACAAGCATAACATTCGGGAGATACAATTGTTTCTTATATTAAAAATAAACCTTCAAATACATTTAAAAAAAAACACACACCTGACTAAGACAAAGGATTCTTGAAAGTTTTCAAAGAAATAAGATTAGAATTAAGATAATATACCTGCTGCCATAGAAATGGAAAGGGATCAAAGATCCTCGATCTTGCACAACTGAAATAACACTTTTCAAAGTTAAATCACTAAACTACTCTTCTGTTTAAGAAGATAATCCATTTAACTTCCTGATTGCTCGTGGATCAATTTAATTCATAAATTAAGTTCATCAAATTAATTCATAAATTCTCAATTAAATATTTATAACATACAAACATAACCGCTTGATTGGTAGTCCATGCTTTTGTGAAAAGCTCAATAACAGTTTATAGAAACGTATGTTCGAAAAATAATCGTAACTGGGAAATATGGTTGTGTATGTCGCGACAAAGATACAATGAAAAGTGGTCAAATGTCGTTTTATATACCGTTTGTGGGAAAAAAAGAAAAACATAGGAGTCACGATATTTATCACAGCCACCAGCTAGACACTCTAAAGTAACGAGTTTCGCGAGTGCTCTTCTCACGCATCGTATTATCTTGTTTTAGGAACGTGCCTGGTACAGATGATGCATCTACATCAGTAACCACGAGCCCTAGAGGCATACGGAGCTTCAGACCTGTCTACGTCCACAGGTATATTTTTGCCCGTGGAGAAAAAACTTCACGGAAATTATATCGTCGAGTACTTTTGTCGTGAATCACGAACACCAGGTCATTAAATTTTGTACCATTCTCGCGACGAAATTTCCAAACTACGGGCTAATTTAACACTAGAACTACCGTCGACTATCAAGCATCAAACTTTTACAAAGAAGTTAGCAAAAAAAAAACCACGCTTTACTCATATACTTTCCCAAAACTTGTTCGAATTTTCAGAAAACGCATCGCTACAAATCAATAAAACTTTTATTGCACAATTAAACTAATATGCTTGTTGTTGGTAAAATTTTACAAGTCGCAAGTCAAAAATTACCAAATGAGAAACTGATCTTACAAGTAAACTTTACAAGTACATTATTCTATTTAATGTTAAATTATGAAATTGTGAAACGAAAGTTTCTGTAACGTGTAACTTGTAACTTGTCAATTAGTATTATTACGCGAGAAATCTTTGGTAGTTCTAGTATAAAAATGATAATAAAAGAGCCGAATTAAAACTTGCCACGCTGATAACCGTTGTCCGAAATAAATAACTCTCGTACTAATACAGCACGAAGAAATGAGAAATTAATGACACGTGGTTAATCGGACGCTGCATGTTCACGTACGTAATGTGCATTAACACGGTTCCAATTTATATATTTTGCGAAACATTTATAATGAAACGTTAACACGACTGTCAATTATTAGCTCGTTTGAAGCGAGAATGTGACAGATCAAGATGTCAATTGTTTCACGAAGTAAGAATTGCAACATAACGTACGAACTTGCGCGCGTTTTTTCTGCGTCGCGATGGTAACGAAGAAAACAGCGATAACGCACGCGCGCGTTAAGATTAACTGTTTCGATAATTGCGAACGTACAGCTCGAAGGTTATGTTTCGTACGACAGCATCCGTTCCCGTATGGCGAACAAAAACGCGTGCAATATGGAGCAACGATCAGATCGGCCGAGCGAAAACTCAGAAACGTCAGAAACAAAAATATGTCAGTAACTCGGACGAATTAAAACCACGCGAGACAAGCGGAATGAACGCTCGAACGTGAGGAAACGTGTAAAATGAATTTCATCGAACAATTTACGTGGCTCGTGAACAGCATAAAACGAAGGAAACAGCAACATCGTCGTTTCTGCAACGGCGTAAAAACGCAATTACGGAAACGATGACGTCATCGGTATGACGACGTGAACCGTAATATATGTCCAAATGCATACAGCACAGCGCCCACGCGCGGGCAATGGCGTGTACGACTTATTGCTCTATAGCTGCACGTACATACATACAATATAGATGTACGCGTGCACATACATATGTATCGTAAAATAGAGAGAGCTCTGTACTACCTTGCGCCGGAACACGCGGAGGTATCAGCCGCGATCTCGCCGTGATGTCGGTCACCGTGACAGGTTAGGCGGTCGGTGAGCCTTCTCGCTGGTTCTTCTGGAGCTTGCAACTTCTCACTGTGGTAACGAACAACACACCAAAAAAGTAGATATATATTTATATATATATTTCTTATTTGTGTGCACTTCTATGAACGATGACACGGCTTGTTCCTTCAACGTGTGACATACGAATTGTGAATTTCGGAGCCTTTTAGAACGCTGCACTTGCTCTCTTTCTCACTAACGGCAGGAGAAACGTCGAAAAAATATACTTTCCTTCTCGCTACTCCCACTATATAGTTCCGGTCGATCAGCCGGATCTCGCGACACCAAAAACCACGAAAACTTGTTTTCTCACTTGAACAACGCTGGCCCGGATGATGCGTGCTTGCTGCGAACTGCTACACTGTTCCAACTCATAATCAGCTTACTCGATCACAAAAGAAATTCCGTATTATTTCTATATTCGCTCGCGCTTTTCCCTTTGATACGACCGTTGCTAACAAAACCACGCGCGACTAAACGACGATTGCAAGAGCAATAACGACGACGTACTGCGTGTGCGACGATGACGACGGCAGTAGCAGCAACGGCGACGGCGGCGGTGGCGGCGGCAATGGCGACGACGAAAAACGACGGACGACGTCGGAGGGACCGGCTGATGGAACGGGGCAAATATATGCAGCTGACGGAAGCCTCGAATGCGATTTTGTAAGAGGGTGAAAAGGTAAGGCGAGCAATGCTGGTTAGGCGACGGGATTGCGACTGCTTGCTGCTTGCTTGGCTAGCCGCTAGCGGGGGCCTGGCGCGACACCGACTGTCCGATGCTAGCGCCCCCTCACCCCTCCCCCTTCCCACTACCCTGCCCCTTTCACTCCCACTTCGTCTGTCCCACCACTTCTCCACTACTACTTGCTCACCTTCTACCTTTCTCGCTCTTTACTCTGCCACACAAATGCAAACCTATTTCTCCTACTTCCCTCTCTCTCCCTCCCTCTGTCTCCTCTCCCCCCTCCTTCTGCCCACTTTCTCGTAGCATTTCAGTCGTTCTTCTGCATTCCCCTCCGTCTGTCTCACTTAATCTCACCTACGGTCTTCCACGATTCACATGCTCGGCCATCGGTTCGTACCTTCTCTCTCTCTTTCTCTCTCTCTCTCTCTCTCGTCAACACTTTACGTCTTTCTCGTTCTTTCTCTAATATGCAGTAGATCTGTGTTCCTATCTCTGTCTATCACCTATCGCACAACTACGTACTACTCTCTCACTAATTCGGACTCTCTCAAGTTTTCTCTCTCAGTGTTCCACTCCCCTTTCCGTAACCCCCTCGCTTTATCATTCTCGCCCTATCTTCGTCGGATCTTCCGGCTCCGTCTTGCTCGGTCGTATGTACGAACTTTCGTGACACACACCGTCTCGTTCGCTCTCTCTCTCTCTCTCTCTCTCTCTCTCTCTCTCTCTCTCTCNTCTCTCTCTCTCTCTCTCTCTCTCTCTCTCTCTCTCTTATCCTCCTATTCTCTCTGCCTTTCCCTTCCTTGCTCATTCGCCGTTGTCTTTGTCCCGCCATCGTTTATCTTCCTTTTCTCTCCTTTCCCCGACTGCGAGGAGCCAGGGATCCCCTCCCCCGCATAATATGAGCTACCCGTCTCGCCCCCCGCTACATCCATGCGGCCGTATACCATGCCACGTCGCCGTCACCGCCGCCGCCGCTGCCGCCACCGCCGACGATGAGGCACCAACCGCCCCTCTCCATGGCTCAATAAGCATCGTTGGCGCGCATGCGCCGGTCTAGTCCCCACCACCCACACTCTTTATTAATCGGTCTCTTTCTCTCCAACGTCGCCTGGCGACTCAGCCTGCTTACCCTGCTAGAGAACCGGCAACGGAGTTAGGTTAGGTTTGGTCGCGCATCGCCCGTTGACTATCACGCTCGCCGCGGGTGAAAGAGGGTTAGTCAATCTCTCTCTTCCTTTTTCTTTGCTCTCCCGCCTCTCTTCTCTCCTCTTCGTTTCTGGCTCTAGGAAACAGAACTTCTAACGCGTGTACCGTGTACTACATACATCGGCGTAATCTTGTTTCTTCATGCGTTCACGCGCAAGAAAAAAGACGCGACAGGAGGAAGGATCGGCCAGGGAAAAAAAAAATGTGTTCTTTATAAATGTGTCACGGGGCGCGCAACGGGATAATTCTTACATACGATCAGATTTGGATTGTTTGAACCAATTGTATGTATATTGCTTTATGAGAGCGCAAGAGAAAAATGCCCGCGAAAAATCGTAACGTTGCGAAATGATTCGCAATCGATCCTTTCCTTACGTTCTTTATCTTCCATGTAGTAGCAAACGAATGCGGTGCCGCTCCGATAGAAATCACTTTCACGTGTCACGCTTGATTTCCCATTGACGCAACGTGAAAATGCAATCGAGTAAAAGACTAGGTAAGCACACTTTCGAGACGAAAAGAAAGGTGAAGGAACTTCTGGCGCATACTGTACACCTGCTTAATCTCGTTCCCCTAGTGTGCAAGAGAGAGAGAGGGAGAGAGAAAGAGAGAAAGGCAAAGTGACAGTGCGCGAGGGAGGCAACGAATGAGATCTGTAGAAAATTCTTTATACCAACGCCGATGGCCTCTGTGTGCTATGGTTCGCAGCGGGAAAAGATCCCGGTGTCTGATACGGAAGGACCGTGCATATCGTTTGCACGAACATCTCCGACCATATATTGTACGTAGACTTTACGTATGCAAACTTATCACGACCCATTGTTACGATTCATTTTTCAGTTCACTTTTATTTTACATTTCAATCTCTCTTCCTTTTCTGATTTTTGTTGCCAAACGAGGAATGATTGTATAATGAAAATTTTTATTTGCATTCTTATCTAATACGTAGATAATGCTAACTAATGTCAAAAGATTATTTTCCATAATAAGACAAATTTCTGACAATAGAATAAGATTCGAATAGGAAGAAAGGAGCCGAGTGACAAATTATGTTACGTGTCACGTTCTACATATTTCAATCACTCTCATCTTAACAGTATTATCAATATATCAATTCACGTAGATTAATATAACCTCGATGTATAACGTCAAAGAATCGAAATCAAATTTTGTATAGTAACAGCAAGAAAAAAAATTTTTAAGATATCTTAAGACAAGTCGTTAGGATTGTGTATACAAACAGATTGTGTATACAATAGAGAATGTGTATAACCGAAATGTCGATTAATTCGATATTTTCGTACGTTATGGGTTCAAAACTCTTTCTTCGGGGATTCTCGATACCAACAACGGAAGCGGAAGCATACTCGCTTCGCTAACTTTGATAAGCCAAGCATTCTACCACCTACACATAAACACTTATACCTATGTACTTTCCGTTTCCAAAATCTGGAAATCCAGCATGTTGCATTCGAAACTTGTTATCTCAATATTTATCGGCTCTCAACAAAAGATAACAGTATGTTCCATCAGTTGGTGGACGGGTCGTCAACTCATAAGACCGTTGCGGCGAACGTAATTTTCGAAAGCGCAGTTATCTATGTTTAATCCTGTCGAAATCGTTCCGCAAGCAACGCGTATCGAATAATTCCGTATCGTTGAAAAATGAATAGCCCGTTCCAAGCGGTATATCGTACCAAGTCAGGGGTATACGTACATGTACATAAAAGTAAGAAAGAGACGAGATAGAAGAACACAGAAGCCGTACCGGAGGGTGGGTTGTGGAACGCGAGACTAAAAAGTGGGGTCGGCGGCAGCCGCTGAGGTGTGATACGGAACGTCGAGGGGATACGAGGTGATATTTCTCATGAAACTGAACCGAATAAATTTTTAACAAAAACTGCTGACTCGCTACATTACTCTAGCTTTTCTTCCGTTTCTTTCTTTTTTTTTTTTCCTTCTTTGCAACCGGCAGTCGGCTGCCATCTTTTTCATTCCAGGTGTTCGTCGTTTCTTTTTCGTTCGAGTGACACCGCGTTACCGGAAATACGGAGGGGGGGGGGGGCCACCCTTATTTGAGGTACCATCACGCGGTGAAATTTATTTGCATGCCCGATTATACATAACTTTCATGAAATATTGAAACTGTGCTCGGTAAAATGTCACGAGACAGCGCCGTTAAAGTCTCGCAAGCATTTCGTTCCCTCCTTTTCGTACATTTTGTTGGAAAGATGGTGCACCTATGTCGTGCAAGTGTGGTGGGTATCCGTTGCACGAGCGTGATTCGGTTTACGTTAATGTTCGCTTGTTAAACTACTGCTCCACTTTTACAGTATTATTTTATGGGCGCGGAACGACATAATATCGCGCAATCTTCTTGCAATTTAGCCAAAAGATAAAAAAGAAAGATTGTTAATGTGGCCACGCGTTTCCTCCGTAACAACGGTATCAACGCGACCACAAACCGCGTAAACGGAATATAAAACGGAAATGCAGCTGAGCCTGTTTGCGTGCATAGTGCCAACTAATTTTTAGGGAGTCAATAAACAAATGTAGTTTTGCACATTGTCAAAATTTAATTTCTCGATGTATGAGAGATACATATACACGATAATTGATATAAATATATCTATATGTACAGACGTAAATATTTATCGAATTTATATAATCCAAATGTAGCAGCCGTTTCGTTTTCATTTTGCGTGCTATTACTCTCAACCCAAAAAACGAACCAAGACTAACTAATTAAGATGAATTTGGATTCTCAGCAATGTTGAGGATTGTAATTTTGTGTTCGTTTAATGAAGCGTTTCTTTTTTTTTTTTTTTTATCATCCGCGTAGTCATCGGCAAACTGAAAGGTGATTACCATTTAACGACGCTAACTAACGTTTTGACCACGTTCCTGAAAAAACAAGCATCGTTACGTAACCAGTCATTGGTTTTTTTTTTTTTTTTTTTTTTTTTTAAAAAAAAAA